CTTTAATGTAAGCAAAGTCAAAACAAAAAAGTTGCTAAGGGAAACTGCAGAGACCTAGTAGTGGTGGCGTATGCCTTTAACCCTAGCACTTGGGAGGCAGAAACAGATGGTTCCCTGTGAGTTCGAGGCCAGCCTGGTCTACAGAGTGAGTTCCAGAACAGCCAGGGCTACACAGAAAAACCGTGTCTTAACAAAAAAAAAAAGTCAGAGAAAGAGAAGAATAGGGGTAATCTTTAGTTGATATAAATGCTAAAAGTTCCTTTGATTAAATCTAGTTTTGTTTCTAACTTAGCTTCTGCAGTGTTTAAGAGCTCGTTTTGATTAGGTGGTACCAGTTTTATCAGGGTTTTGCTGTTGCTGAGGAATAGTTTACATTTTAATTAAAGCAGGCTGCCTGTTTGTGGATTTTTGTTTGTTTAAAGGAGAATACTTGATTGCCTAGGACTTTGTTAAGCAAGCAAGATAAACCAGTTTGGGGTACTTACTTTTATATATTTTTTATTTTCCGAAATACCTGCAAGTTAATAATTGCCCCATACCTGCCAGCTAGAGCACCGAATGGCGGTTGAGCTTGAAGCATTTCTTCCTTCCTTCTTTGAAACCTTGTTCTCCATATCTATTTTCTTTTTCTCTGGAAAAGTTGCCCAGCTACGCTAGCTAGGGAATGGGTTTTGAGTCAGATTTATGTGCTGCTCTTGGGATCGACTTTCTCAGTTTCACCCCGAGATGTCTTCTCCTGCTGCATCTTGGGGTATCCTGTACTGTGTGGCCGGTCCTAATTTGTGTTTTCCAGGTTGAGCCAGTACAGATCCTTCCGACCCGGGCACGGGGAATGTTTGTTGGGTTTTCCTACAAGGCCAAGGCCATTGCAGGTCCTGGAGGTCCCTCTGACCTTTCCACACTCTTGGGTGGGAGAGACTTTTGTTTTGGTGTCTTTTTTATCTTCAGGTGCCCACAAAATTCCTAGGCTAAAGGCTTGTCAAGGTCACAGAAAAGCAGGAGAAAAAATCAGAGTTGTGCTTCTGAGGAGGAATGTCAGGTGACAAAGGCCAGAACATAACAAATGAAAACATTTCAAAGACACTGAAAACCAAGACAGCTAAAACAAAACCCAAAATGCCTTCAAAGTTCCAAAAAGTGAACAAAAATGCTGTAAACAAGCTGGGCAGCCAGAGTCTAAGACACCTGTAGAGGGCCAAAGGCAAGCCGAGGGGTTGAGACCGAAATGCTTTCAGGGAAAATAAAGGAGATGCCTCCACCAAACACTCCGAAAGCAGACCAAAAAGAGATCTGCCAGAGTAGGAGCTCAGAGGGACCACGACCTGGGAACACCACAGATTTAGGTAACCGAAAATCCCATGCTCCGGCAAAGAAGCAGTTTCATGGACTTTGTATAGTTTTAAAGAACTGAGACAGCCATCCACTAAAGTAAGTTTAAAACACATTGGCAGACACTTCAGGAAGGCAAGAACGAGAGGTGGCGGGAACTATCCCGTAGGCCTGGTGGTAGGCCTGACGTGTTACCCTATTACGACCTTGGCTTTTGCGTTGGTAGCGGTTGGTAGGAACCAGCTGCTGGCAAAGTCAGTAGATCAGGTTTTTATCTGTCATCACGTGACAGAGGTTCTGATACAGGTGATAAGGGATTCTAGGCCAGCAACATTCCAACTTCTCCACAATTTCCGAAGACATAGGCTCCTTTCGGGGTTTTCCTTAGTCAGGCAGATGCAGCTTCTGGTTGTGCTCAGTCCGTGGGGACCCCAAAAGATCACCAGGGAGACCGACTCACCGAAATGCAAAAGCAAGGTTTACTGTGTGCACAATGCAAGTTGGCAGGGACCTCATCAAAGCAACTGGTGCAGCAGCAGCAAGAGGAGGTCCCCTGCCCTTCTAGAGGGCATTATTTAAAGGTAAAACCCAGAAAAGTTACTTTAGCAGGGTGTGGGGTGACCGGTTTCTAAGGTTCAGGACCCCTGCTTGACTGACATTTGTCTAGGGTGTCCCCGCTAGGTGAAAAGCGATGGGTGTGCGCTGGCCCGTGATCCTATCTACAAGGGTTGGAACATTAGGAATTTCCTTCAGATGGCCTGGATAGTCTGTTTGTCACCTCTATCTGAACCAGGTATTGCCTCAGGGTAAACTACTGTGCCTTGTGCCTCAATTGAGTTTGTCAAGGCTGGGTCCTACACTTCTGAGGTCTTGTTCACAGCAGGGGTCATGCTTTGCCTGACTTAGCGCAGGTAGCTTGTTTCAGAGAGGGCCAAGCAAGGTGCAGCTGTCTCCTTGTTCCCCTGGTCCATGGAGGGCTGCACAGTAAAGGCCTCTTGGGTGGGTCTGGTTTATGATCTAGGGGACAGTAGAGCCTACAGACAGCAACCTCACGACTGAGGATTGTATTTTTCTTTCTTTCTTTTTTTTTTTTTTCGAGACAGGGTTTCCCTGTGGCTTTGGAGCCTGTCCTGGCACTAGCTCTGTAGACCAGGCTGGTCTCGAACTCACAGAAATCCGCCTGCCTCTGCCTCCCGAGTGCTGGGATTAAAGGCGCGCGACCACCACCCAGCTGTTTGGTTTTGTTTGGTTTGTGTTTTTTTTTTTTTTGTTTGTTTGTTTGTTCAAGGCAGGGTTTCTCTGTGTAGCCCTGGGTGTCCTGGGAGTCACTCTGTAGATCAGGCTAGCTGCCTCGAACTCAGAGATCTGCTTGCCTCTGCCTCCCAGATGCTGGGATTAAAGGTGTGTGCCACTACACCTAGCAACAACTGAGGTTTTTATTTAGTGTGATTTTTTTCTGCTGCTAGAGCGGGAATCCAGGAGCCTCAGAAACATTGGGCAGTGCTCTGGTAGGGAACCAGGGCTCTGGCCTTTGCCTACAGGCTATTCTTTTGTTGTTGGTGGTGGTGGTGTGTCAGAAAGTGTGTATAATGTATGTGTGCAGTATGTGTAAATGTGCTTGTGGACAGAGGTGCACACGTCTGTGTGCGAATGAGTAGAGGCTGGAGGAGAATATCATCTCTCACCACACCCAGAGCAGTGCCCCTCCTGCCTCTCCCCTGCAAGCCCAGTGCCCCTCCTGCCTTTGCCCTGGACAGCACTGGGGCTACTTACTGGTCTATACATGGGAGCTGGGGATTTGAACTTGGGTTCTCGTGATGCTTAGCAAGTTCTCTGAGCCTTGTGTAGTCCAGGGCGGCCTGAAACTCAAGGTGTTGCCAAGGTTGGCCTTGAACCTCTGATACCTCTGCCTCTACCTCTGGAGTGCTGGGAATATAGATGTGTGCCACCGGGCTGAGTGTGTGTGTGTGTGCGCGCGCGCGTGCGTGTGTGTGTGTGTGTGTGTGTGTGTGTGTAAGAGTGCAGGCATACCCTCAAGTACTACAGCACAAATATGGAGGTCAGAGGAGACCCCTCGTTCCTGACAAGGTCTTTTACCTGTGTGAAGGTGGTTGTTACCTGAAGCAGATCCCTAGCAAACAGAGCAGAAAGCTGGCTACTCGCTCAGATCCCCATCCTGTAGCCACTGATGATAAAACATGCCTCAGGACAAGCAGACCATGCTGCGCCCATTTTCCTGGGAGAGCTTTGTCAAGTGCTCCCAAGCCTGGTGTGGTGACCCTGTACTTTGGAAACACAGACACTGTCTTATCAAGCACATCTTTAGTTCTTACGTAAGGTATAGCCTGAAGCCTCACAACTTTCCCCAGCAGCAAGGACTTCCCCCTGCCAATCCTGCTAGGCAGGAACCATTAGCCCCATTCTGAGGAGGGGAAACTTAGGCTCCAGGGCACTAAGCAAGGGGTAGCGACTGCATGGCAGATGCTGTCACTGGGGTCTTTTAGACAGAAGTATTTTACTGCTTTAATCCTTTTTACATTTATTTTATAATCTGTGTGTATGCCCGTGGTCAGACAACCTGCCTCAGCCACTTCTCTCCTTCCTCCATGTGGGGCTGGGAACGAAGCCCGCTTTCATGCTTGGTGGCAGGCACTTTTTCCTACTGAGCCATCTCAATAGCCCTTATTGTTGAAGTAGGCTTTAATATGTCTCAGGCTGGCCTCAAATTCACTACATGGCGGGGGAGGGGGGGTGTATGTGTGTGTGACCTTGAGCTCCTGATCTGGCGTCTATATCTTGAGTGCTGGGATCACAGGCAAACGTGATTTATGAGGTACCTGGTTTCTGTGGTGGCACACACCTTTAATCCCAGCACTCCGGAGGCAGAGGCAGGTGGATCTCTGTGAGTTCCAGGCCAGCCAGGTCTCTTTAGTGTTTGGGCCAATGAGACCTGAATTTTATCCCTGGAACTCACAAGGCATAAAAGAACCAACGCTAGCCAAGTTGTCCTCTGACTTTCACACAGCTGCTGTGATGCTCACGTGCCTGTGCGTGCGAACACACACACACTAAATAAATGTAATTTTAAAAGAAACTTTAAAAAATGTGGTGGGCGATAGAGGAAGTCATGTGAAGTCAGCTACAGGCTTCCACACACATGTGTACCCTCACCCACCTGCACATGTACACACTCAAATAACCCCCCCCACACACACACACAGAGATTTGAACTGGGAAGTGGAGTTCTGTTCCTGCTAGATGGTGGAAGGACCTGTCTCACCATCCAGCTTGCAGAGGCAGTCCGCCTCCGTGACTGCGTGTCTAGCATCACAGAGACATTAGCACAGATGGCCTGGTTCTCCAGCCCTCTACCTGCCCTCCTGCTTTGGAAGGTGGGCATGGGTCAGTGACAACTTCCGCAGCGGAGGTCGATGAGCTGGAGTTAGGATGAGAAACAGATTAGGAAGTTTGAGGCCTTGCCAGGGAACAGTGGTCCAGAGCCAAGGATGGCGCGGGGACACCTCCATTCCTCTGACTTTCCCAGCACTAGGAGCAGAAGTCCCCGTTTCTTTCTTTCTTGGAGCAGGGGGGGGCCCTGCTGTGGTTTGTTCAGGGTGGGCGGGGAGTGGGCGGGGGTGACCGCCTCCTCAGGGTTTGGCCCGCCTCCTTCTCCTCCTCTCCACAGACTGCCTTGTGGGACAGTCTCAGCCTCAGTCACCGTGTCCTGGAGTTGGAGCCCAGACCAGCTGAGATGCCTTCTCTGGACCTGGTGATGGAGAACGGCCAGGCGCTCCCGGCCTTCCTGCTCTGCGGCACACTGCTGGTCATCAAGATGTACGCGGTGGGTGTCATCACAGGCTACACCAGGCTTCGGAAGAAGGTACGTGACCTGGGGTGTGTGTGAGCGGGAGTGTGTGAGGGGATTAACTCTCTGCTGCTTTTTCCCTGCAAGAAACTCTGGGAGCCGAATAACGTGGCGGAGGTGTGTTTGCGGGCGTGCAGAAGTAGCTATTTCAAAGCTGCCGCCGCAGCCCTTCTGGATGTTGGGCTTCGGCTCCTGAACCTGTCGGTCTGAGAGCACCCGGGGTTTCCTCTCTCAGCGCCAGGGGAAGCGACCTCCAACAGGAGACGCACGTGGAACACAGGAACTCTGACAACAAGGTGTTCTGACCTGGCGGTTTCTCGGCAGACAGGGAAGGATTTCATATCTGGGTGGAGTGGGAACCGGTAAATCAGGAGCCCCAGAAGTCTTTCCGTGGAAATTCCCACTCCCCGTGGATGCCACACACAGACTCACGGCAGCCTCTGAGGTTTGGTCCTAGCCAGAGGGGTCACGGACAACTCTGTGATCCCAGTCCAGGGAAGGAAACAGCCGCAAAAAGCCCACACGGAGCCGGTGGAAGTGGCCAGGACACTCCGGCCCATTCCTCCGCGTTGGATGAACTCCTGGAAGCCTCTGGAAAGCAGAACTGCACGAAGTATTTGTTGCCTTTTCAAAAGCAGCCTTAGTCCAGTCCAAAGGCAGCGTGGACAGGGTGCGGGTGGGGTCCCTGGGTGGGACTTTTGCCCTCCCGCGGGGTTCAGCCCCTAGGGCACTTACTGGCAGGAATAAAGGCAAGGCCACCACTTACTGGCTGCCTCTGGTTCTCCTGTTTAGTCTTTCCTTGGATGTAGGACAGAGATGCCAGGCAGAGATCGCTAAACTCTGTCCTTGTCCCCTTTGCAGAGGCACCAAATCTGAGCCCTAAATTACCACAAAGCCTGGAGGAGGCAGAGAAAGTTAGGTTACCTCAGTTTTCCCACGGGGGCTGAGGAGATGCTGTCTTCCTGGGGCTCCTTCCATCCCCTGAAGCTTAGTGTCTGGTTCCTGAGCCTCACTTCCTCCTGGTCTCCATCCCCCATAACTCCAGATACAGGGGCCCCTGCTTTGAGCCCTGGGGTCCTCGGGTGCCTCTCCTTTCTGCCGAGAGGAACCAGAGGATCACCCTCTGCAGAGAGAATGGGGACAGGCTCAACGTCCTCTCTCCACAGGCCTGGGGACCTGGGCGACTGGGAGCTCAGTGTCTGGCTCTGTGAACCTAGAGACCTGAATGGCGAATGGGCTACCACTCTGGTCTGTAAGACTGCTTCCTGCTGGAATCTGATGTGAACAGCAGCCGCCTAGGTCCTTCCTGGGAGTCTATGCTCCTTGACCTACTAGAAGTGGCTCCCCAATAGCTGACCGCAGGGGCTTTACTGGTGGCAAAGCCTGGCCCTCAGGGTTGGGGGACTTGGGAACCAGCAAGGGGTAATTCTGGGTGGGAGTTCTAGGCCTTATAATGGCATTTTACGTTTTCTTCAGAGCAGGGCAGGAGTAGGCCACAGCTGGGGCTCCAGGGACAGAGCAGAGTGAAGCACCCCATGTTTAGAAAAGTTGACTCAGCTGTCACCAGAGTTGATGGGGGGAGAATTTGCCTGGCTTTGCAGCAGGGAGTAGCTGCTAGTGAGTCATAAGTCCCCAAAGGCAAAAATGTGACCTTGGGCCTCCACTGTCTTTCCAGCCCTCTCCAGCTGCCCTGCTCTTCCCTGGAGGCTCAGGTGCTCCGTTTTATCCGGCAGCCGGAAGCTACAGAGCCTGGTGGTCAGGGAGGGGTTTAGTGTCTGATCAGGCACTCCAACACCTCTCTAGCTTGTCTGTTTGTTTTTAATCTTCTGAGACAGGGTCTTACCACGTAGACCAGGCTGCCCTCAAACTCACAGAAATTGCCTACCTCAATCTCCGGAGTGCTAGGATTAAAGGCGTGAGCCACCACACTCTGCTAAATATTTTAAACTATTTTTTGAGATTCTTGGACTAGAACCTAGGGACTCATGCATGTTAGGCAGACACAGTACTATGGATACATATTCTGAGCCCCTCCTGAGTGTGCAAGGCTAGCTAGTCACGCTGAACCCCTCCTGAGTGTGCAAGGCTAGCTAGTCACATTGAGCCCCTCCTGGGTGTGCAGGGATAGCCAGTCACGCTGAACCCCTCCTGAGTGTGCAAGGCTAGCCAGTCACACTGAGCCCCTCCTGAGTGTACAAGGCTAGCTAGTCACGCTAAGCCCCTCCTGAGTGTGCTATGCTAGCTAGTCACACTGAGCCCCTCCTGAGTGTGCAAGGCTAGCCAGTCATGCTGAGCCCCTCCTGAGTGTGCAAGGCTAGCCAGTCATGCTGAGCCCCTCCTGAGTGTGCAAGGCAGCCAGTCATGCTGAGCCCCTCCTGAGTGTGCAAGGCTAGCCAGTCATACTGAGCCCCTCCTGAGTGTGCAAGGCTAGCCAGTCATGCTGAGCCCCTCCTGAGTGTGCAAGGCTAGCCAGTCATGCTGAGCCCCTCCTGAGTGTGCAAGGCAGCCAGTCATGCTGAGCCCCTCCTGAGTGTGCAAGGCTAGCCAGTCACGCTGAGCCCCAAGTTAATAATCTCTTAACCTACAAGCCCAAGAGACGGGCGGGAGAGTGCTTTCGCCGGCATAAGCTTTGGTCCACAGGGGAGCAGGCTGAATGGTCTGTAGTGTGTGTAGTAGCTGTCCTGTTATCTAGCCCCTGAGCTCTGTCCTCAGACAAGGACCTCCTCAGGGAGAGTGACCCTCGGCCAATGTGTTGCAGGCTTTTGCCAACCCGGAGGATGCCCTGAAACATGGAGGCCTCCAGTTCTACAGGAGTGATCCAGATGTGGAGCGCTGCCTCAGGTGAGTACCTGAGAGTGTCTAGGACCTGGCTGCTACCGGAGTTCCCTGTGTGTCTAAGGGCCTCCATGGGCCTGATTTCCTCGGACAATTATAGTTTATACATTACATTTGCCTTGGAAAAGAAAATCCTCACGATCTAGAATTAGAGTTAGTTCAAGGTTGGTGGTGAACATATAAGATGTCAAAACCTGGGAGGTGGAAGCAGGAAGCTCGACCAGAGCTGCAGACCAACCACAGAGTGAGAGCATTCGAAGAAAGCATCAGATAAAGAAAAACAAGTGCGATATAGTGGCTCACATCTCTGAGCCCAGCATTTGGGAGGTATGGAATTTGGGAGGCAGGAATGTCGGGGGTTCAAGACCAGCCTCTGCTAGTAGAGAGTCATGCCTGTAGGTGGATCTCTTGTCTCCGTGTGTGTGTGTGTGTGTGTGTGTGTGTGTGTGTGTGTGCACTCCCCCCAAATGTAAAAGGTTTTAGAGTGAGTCTTGAGGCTAGGTATAGTGAGTGACATACACCCATGACGACAAGGCTGACGCAGGAGTATTGCCTTGGGTTCCAGGCTGGTTTGACTATAGGTAAAGCCCTGTCTCAAAAAGAAAAATAACCTTTAATCCCAGCACTCAGGAGGCAGAGGCAGGTAGATCTCTGTGAGTTTGAGGCCAGCCTGGTCTACAGAGTGAGTTCTATGACAGCCAGCCAGAGCTACACAGAGAAACCCTGTCTCCAAAAACAAAAACAAAAACAAAAAAACAAGCCGGCCGGTGGTGGCGCACGCCTTTAATCCCAGCACTTGGGAGGCAGAGGCAGGCGGATCTCTGTGAGTTCGAGACCAGCCTGGTCTACAAGAGCTAGTTCCAGGACAGGCTCCAAAACCACAGAGAAACCCTGTCTCGAAAAACCGAAAAAACAAAACAAAACAAAACAAAACAAACAAACAAACAAAAACGTCTTGGCTGTGTAAATCTCTTCCAGACGGAAAGCCGATTTTTAGCAGCTGGCTCAGTTTTTAGTGTGGGGGACATTCCTTTCCTGTCTCATCAGTGATCCAGAATGAGGAGGGGGCACTGGGGTGATGGAAGCAAGGGGTGAGACGTGAAACAGACCACATACACAGCTCCCAGCAGATCCCCTGGCATCACAGGCCAGGATGGGTGGGGCTGTGCCACTTCCATAACAGAATTCCCCTCTGGGAGGGTTTCCTTATGTTTGTGTTCGTCATTGTCAGTAATGTATACACTTGTGGGTTTGAAAAATGACAACAGTGTGGCCTAGGAAGTGGAACTCCAGGCCGCCCTATCCTTTCCAACAGAATGAAATGCAGGCTGATCTGCATGTGTTTCGGCAGATCCTCAACCTTCTGTGGCAGGCACTGGTCTTGCACAACCGTGACCCCATATTGGTGACTCGTGGTTGTCCAGGCCATTCTGAGCCACTGAGAGGGAAAAACTGAGTGGCCCAGGCAGCCATCCGTCAGCAAGAGCTGACAGGTTGTGTTTTGTTGCCTCCTAAAGGCATAACCTTGTCCAGGGAAGACAAAGGAACTCTAAGGAACCCCAGCGGTCCCACCTACCCAGGAGGATTTTTCTCCTTTTCTAATATTTGCTTTATATTTATATTACTTCATATGTATGAATGTTTTCCCTGCATGCAGGTCTAAGCACCCTTATGTGCCCATTGGATCCCTTGGAACTGGAGTTACAGATGGTTGTGAGCTTCCGCATGGGTGCTGGGAATTGATCCCGGTGATCCCTCTGCAGGAGAAATAAGTGTGCCTGACCCCTGAGCCATCTCTGTAGCTGGATTTGATTTCTTATACTCTCTAGTACTGAAGCTTAAGTGGTTCGTATTCAGTGAGCATTTTCTGAACATTCCTACCTAATACTGCTACTGTCCATCCACCCGTGAGGCTTCAGTCAGTACTTGCTAGGTGCTTGTTAGGGGGAGAGGCCAGCACCTGGGTAGCCGAGAACCCTCCTGACTCCTTAGAGCATCACAGACAGCTGAGGGTAGAAGATGAAGCTCAGGTTGGTAGAGGGCTTGCATAAAATAGAGTTGGAGGCTAGCCTGGGCTACATGAGACCCTGCCTGACAAAAGGAAGGAAGGAAAGAAGCCAGCTACTTGTGGTAGCATATCTTTTTAATCCTGGTACTTGGGAGGTACAGGCAGGAGGCTGTGTGTGAGTTTGAGCTCAGTCTGATCTATACAGTGGGTTTCAAGCTAGCCAGAGCTGTGCAGAGAGATCAGACCCTGTCTCAAAGAAGAAAGTGTGTCAGCTGAGGGTGCAGAACCGAGACTCACGCTGGCTGCCCACCACTAGGAACTGGCGAGGGGGGGGCGGGGGAGGGAGGGGGGGAGAGAGAGGGAGGAGAGAGAAAGAAAGAGAGGGGGAGAGAGAGAGGGAGGAGAGAAAGAAAGAGAGGGAGGGAGAGAGAGAGAGGAGAGAGAGAAAGAGGAGAGAGAGGAGACCGAGAGACAGAAAGAGAGACCAGTTAAATATTAGAACCAGGGCAGGGGCCCCGGGCCACAGGGCTGTGAACACAGGAAGCTTGTAGCCTGGATCCTGGGTCGTGCATAAATCTGCCTTGTAGATTAGCACATGCTGGAGACAAGCCAGGCTGGTCCTGGGGCAATCAGGAGCCAGGTTTAAGAATGGAACCCCGAGGGCTGGAGAGAGAGGGTCCTTAAGAGCACTGTCACTCTTGCAGAGGACTCAGGTTCAAGTCCCAGTCCGCACAGGATGCCCTTGTCTGATCTCAGGCTTTAGGCACACATGTGGTGCACATGCATACGTATAGGCAAAAGTACTCATACAGAAAATAAAATAGATAACGTTAACTTAATTTTTTTTTTCGAGATAAGAGTCTCACTATGTAGCTCTGGCTGTCCTGGAACTAGATCTCGTAGACCGGGCTGGCTTTGAGCTCACAGAGATCCGCCTGCCTCTGCCTCTCGAGTGCTGGGAAGAATGGAACTGAGGCCACCTGTAGTGGCCTCACCTGGAATTCCAGCACTGAGGAGGTGGGGGCAGCAGAAACAGGAGTTCGAGGCCAGCCTTAGCTGTACAATATACCATAGAGGCTTGCACAGGCTACATGAGACAGGAAGGAGGCCAGCTGTGGGTTAGTGAAGGAGGCCCTGAGTGAGCATGTATTATGACATGGGCATGACCGTGCCAAAGACTAAAGCCTCAGACCCATGAGGATGGCAAAACCTTCCTCAGGTGAGGCCCGGGGATGGGCAAAGCCTTCCTTTGGTCCCAGTGCGAACGTTGGCAGGATGTATAAAGACTAGCAACTGTAGCCTCCCCAAGGGTTTACAGGCAGAGACTGATCTGCTACACAGACCTCCTGACCCCTCCCCTGTTCTGTAAGCGTCCGGTGGAGAGCGAGTGACCCACTGACCCCAGCTTTTCTGAGTGTGTCTCGTCTTCCGTTCATTCCCTTGCTGCCCCAGGTGGGGCCCAGCCTTGTTGGGCAGGTGCCAGCCACGTTCTCGTCCCCGGACACCTGCCTGCACTTGCAGATGGAAATGTGTTCACCTGCAGCTGTGTGTCAATTCGCACACAGGACTGCTCCCCCTGGAGGGACATTTGACCCAAATTATTTCATCTTGTTTCTCACTGTTTAGGCCTTTAGCCCAAAGAAAGAATCAGTTTGCCAAGAGATTTGGCCCCCAGGTGCTGACTTCCTATGTTCTAAAAATGATATCCCGCCTGTCCATTTATCAGTAGGGGACATGGACTCAGAGAGGAAGGGACACCTGCCTGTGGGGGCTCAGCTCCTTGGTGGCAGCCAGAGTTGGGGACCTCTGGCGGAAGCCCTATTTCTCACTAGGGTCAGCGAGGGCCTGTGACAGGTTGTCAGCCCAAGGAGAATGAGGAGCAGTCACAGTTGTGTCCGGGCCAGGGCTGGTGATTTGGGGGTGGCGATGATGAGGGTGGTGGTAACAAACTTAAGGCTGCTTTTCCTTATTTTCTGGGTACCAACACCCACAGCACCCCAGCACTCTGAGGAGAGTGATGTTATCTATAGAGATAGAAGGGTGTGCCAGGGTCTGGCCCTGAGGCTATAACTCTATCTAGCAGGAGGCAAAGCTTCAACCCTGGCCTCAGCCCCCACCCCTTACCGATTTCCCTTCCCTTTGCACATCCGCCTTTGGCACCGAGCAGCCGTCCTCCTTGCACCCTGAGCTCACGTAAGTGTGCGGCATGGGTGACGAGCTGGGAGAGAGGTAACGTGTTGCCACCAGCTGCTGTCACTGCCCTGACCCGGGGTCATCAGAGGTCTCTCCCCACTGAGCAGTAAGACAGCTCTGTTACAGAGGGAGGGTGAGGGGCAGGCCCGAAGCCACAGGGGGCTGTGCAAGTCTCATCTGGTGGGAACTGGTTTTGGGTGACTTTCGCCTCAGAATGCTGGTCATTATCGGAGTGACACAGTTCTCCCTGCCTCCCAGTACGTGACTCCTTCCACGCCTCTGTTTGGAGACTGTGGCAGGGCAGGAGAGGTGAGCCTTATTTTTTCAACGTCCGGATTTCCCCATTCTTCCCTGCCCCAGGCACCACCGTGGCATTGTGGGGCCCCATTGTAGCTTCTAACAGATGAGGGAGGGAGGCCCTGGGTCTGAGCTCCATCTGCTCCGGGCCACATTTCCCATGTGGGCCACCCCTTTGCTGCCTGGTGAGGAATCAAGGAGGTGGCCCGCCTCCCCAACCAGGGACCTGCCACAGAGCAGGGGTCACTCCTGTCCCTGCTCTTCAGGTTTGGCCACATTTGTTCTCAACCTGGTTTGGTTTGTTTTTGAGATAGAGTCCCCCTTAGCCCAGGCTGGCTAACTCTCCAGCTGAAGATAACCCTGGACTTCTACCCCTCCTGGCTCTACCTCCTAAGTGCTAGAAATAGAGGCTTATGTCACCTGACCTCTGGTTTATGTGTTGCTGGGGACTGAAACCAGGACCTTTTAATTGCTAGGCAAATGTTATACAGGCTAAGTCATATACCAAGACTTTTTAAAAAATCATTATTTTTCTTTATGTGTATGGGTGTTTTATATTATATACATGCAGAGCCCAAAGGGACCAGGAGAGGGCGTCAGATCCCCTGTAAGTGGCATTACAGACCATTTCGAGTCACCATGCAGGTCCTCTGCAAGAGCAGCCAGTGCTCCCAATCACTGAGCCATCATCTTCCGACATTATTTTCAGGATAGGTCCTTTCGTAGCTCCAGACTGACTTCAACGCTACTAGGGTGTTGAGGCTGACTTTGAATTCCTGACTCATGGTAAACCTCCTGCCTCAGCCTTCCAAGTGCAGAATACAAGTGCAAGCCAACACAGCTGGCCTTTTTTTTTTTTTTTTTTTTTTTTTGTGTGGAGGGAGCAGAGAGGTTCAGAGAGGGTGTCTCTCTGTTTAACCCTGGCTGTCCTGGAACTCACTCTGTAGACCAGGCTGGCCTTGAACTCACAGAGATCTGCCCGTCTCTCCCTTCCACGTGCTGGGATTAAAGGCGCGCCTTTAATCACCACCACCTGGCCTTGACTCTCACTCAACACTCTGCTTGCACAGGCGTGTGAGCCCAGGGGCCAGCCTCGGCTGCCATTTCTCAGGTGCTGTCCCACTGTTTTTTTTTTTTTTGATTTTTCGAGACAGGGTTTCTCTGTGGTTTTGGAGCCTGTCCTGGAACTAGCTCTTGTAGACCAGGCTGGTCTGAAACTCACAGAGATCCCCTGCCTCTGCCTCCCAAGTGCTGGGATTAAAGGCATGCGCCACCACCGCCCGGCTTGTCCCACTGGTTTTTGAGACAGCTTTATAACTTGGAACTAGGTTAGCCCATGGGGCTTCCTGTCTCCACTCCTCAGAGCTGGGATTGCAGGTGGGTTCAGGAACACATAGCTTTTCATGTGGCTTCTGGGGTTTGAACTTGGTTTTTCATGCTTACACAGCTTACCCTTTACTGATGGAGCCTTCTCCCCGGTCCTCAGCTCCCGTGTCTTAAGGAGCAGTCTGGCACCCGAGCCCCTCCCCTCGAGCGTTCCCTGGCACTGTGACAATCATCCCATAGGTCCTGTGGAGGCAGAGCTCATCTGCAAGCATCTTTCTGCAATGGACTTTCAAGGTGTTCCCATAACTAAGACACAGAGACTGTGTAGATACTGTTCCGTGTCATCGGGTGCTGTGATCTGAGGGAAACCTGCCCCGTCTCTGGTGACCCATGTGATGTGGAACTGTCTTGAGTGGGGAGTCACCATGGCTTCCGCTCTTAGGTTTCCCACCCTTCCCTGTCATCAGCCCCCAGAGTCCATCCAGGCCCATCACCTGGTGCCACCCCAGCAGGCTGAGAGCCGATCTTACCAGCCATACAGACCTGCTCTCCCTGTGTCGGGTCACAAGTTCATGATCACGGTGAGGTGAGGAGAAGGAAGGGCGTGGGGATGGGTCTCAAGGGGAGAGGGGCTGACTGCCATACCTGAGAAAGTTCCAGGCCCTGCTGGAAGAAGGGTGGGTGGGTGGGTGTGGGTGCACACCCTCGTGTGTGTGTGTGTTTGTGTGTGTGTGGCTGTAGTGTTTGTGTGTGTGTGTGTACAGAATCATGTGGGGGGTGACTGTGGTGTTTGTTTATGGGCATATCGTGTGTGTGTGTGTGTGTGTGTGTGTGTGTGTGAGTGAGAGAGAGAGAGACTTATACAGCCCAGGCCTGCCTCAACTCACTCACTAGCTGAGTATGACCCAGATTTATTTATTTTTATTTTACATGTGCTTACTTACATGTATATATGTGTGCACCATGTGTGTGCCTGGTACCTGGTACCCTCAGAGGCCAGAGGAGGGCATCAGATCCCCTGGAACTGGAGTCACAGATGGTTGTGACCCACTCTATGGGTGCTGGGATACGAACCCTGGGTCCTCTACGAGATACCACCGCTCTTCACTGCTGAGCCAGCTCTCCAGGCCCTGAAGCAGAGCTGGAATAAGCAATCCACCTGCTAAGATACAGCCCCCCCCCCCCTTCTTAAGAATTTTTATGCCCTCTGCTGAATTTCTTTTCCTCCTGTTACCAGGCCTCTCTCCTGCTCACCGGCTCACTTCCCTCTTGTGTGCTTCAGCAAACGGGTCAATTCTGAATTCTTGTGCTGTTCTTACCATAGGGCCTTTGTGTATGCTGGGTACTTCCCAAGAAGGTTCTTCCTCTGCCTGGCCAGCTTCTCATCATTTAGGCTCTAACATATCTCACCAGCCCTGACTACTGCCCCCGTCCCCCGCCCCCCTACCTCCACCCCCGCAGCATTGGGGTGCTGGGTGCTCCAGGCCTCTACCGGGCTCTACCTCTTTTGTCCTTCACTCAGTAAGCTGCTGGTGGCTCTTGCTAAGACTCATTTTCCAGTGGTTCGCCACAGAGGCGCTGGGACCAGGCTGGGCTCGCCGGTGGCCTGGTGCCGCTGGTCAGATGGGCTGCAGCTGGAAGCTGGAGTCCTCAGACTGAGTGATGGGGCCTGTCCTGGGGAAGGTCGTGGCTCGGCCACTGTTTATCTAAGCAGTCATCGATGGCTCCAGGCATTCGCTGTCCCTAGTTGACGGGGCTTTGACTGCCTGGTTCGTTTTTTAATGAGGCAGCAGTATAAACAGGGCCGTGGAAATTGAGTGACAGCCAGTGAGAGATTTCTTCCTTGGTTATTATTTATGGTAAGGTTGGATGCAGCCTTCCCGCCACGCATGCTTATGAAAGAGTGGGATAGCACGCGTGAAGCAGGGAAGGCTGGCCAGAGTCCTGTGCTTAGCTGGGCTGGTGAATGGAAGAATCCTATGGTTAGTCCGGCAAAGATGATGCTTAGTCCGCTGTTGGGGCGGAAAGGGACAGAGGCAGCACCAGGCAGGGTCCCAATCCTGCATTCATAGGGCAGGCATGTCTCAACCCTGCCTCAGGGAATACATGTCACTCACCCAACCCTATCCTCTGAGTCCTCTTCCCTTGGTGTCAGAAGGGACAGTGTGGGGAAGGTGGGATGGACTGGGCCCATAGGAGACCTGTGGAGCTGTTACCTGGGCTTTGAGCCTCAGCCACATCTGAGTAAAAGCTCAGAGTCACTGCTCCCCTTGGCCCTACACATTCTAGCTTATGGGTCAGCAAGGGATTGGGTTATCTGGCAGCCTCAAGAGTTCCCTGGTGGATTGGGAGTCCCAGAACTAAGCCTGCTGACTGTACTCCTCTGCCCCCCAGAGCCCACCGCAACGACATGGAGACTATCTACCCCTTCCTCTTCCTGGGCTTCGTCTACTCCTTCCTGGGACCCGAACCTTTGATCGCCTGGATCCATTTCCTTGTTGTCCTCACAGGCCGTGTGGTGCACACGGTAGCCTACCTGGGCAAGCTGAACCCACGTGTCCGCTCTGGAGCCTATGTCCTGGCCCAGTTCGCCTGTGTCTCCATGGCCCTGCAGATCCTCTGGGAAGTGGCCCATCACCTGTGACCAGTGGCTGGAACCTCTTCATCTACCACACTGTGGACAGAAGCCACCGAGGCTGAGCCTGGCGACTTAGGTGTGTTGGATCCCTGAGCCCAATGTGTGCACGAGTGTTTCTTAGCCTCTTGGGGTCTGGATGCCGAACTAGAACCACTTACAAATGAACTGTCAAGATCAATAGAACGGCCGGGCTGTGGTGGCACACACCTTTAATCGCAGCACTCGGGAGGCAGAGGCAGGCAGATCTCTGGGAGTTCGAAGCCATCCTGGTCTACAAGAGCTAGTTCCAGGACAGGCTCCATAGCTACTGAGAAACCCTGTCTCAAAAAAAAAAAAAAATCGACAGAACATCCTTGACCCTCACAAAAGCCTTAAACATCACCCACACCCCCTCGTGCCTCGTGGTGGTGCACGCCTTTGATTCCAGCACTGGGGAGGCAGAGGCAGGCAGAGCTCTGTGAGTTCGAGGCCAGCCTGGTCTACAGAGCGAGTTCCAGGACAGCCAGGGCTACACAGAGAAACCCTGTCTCAAAAAACCAAACAAACAAACAAAAACAGTCGAAAGGACAGAGGATTCTCTAATAAAGCCATCATTCAGTCCAGGGCTAGAAATGACTTCTCAAACCTGCCCACAACTCTGGGCCAGCCCAAAGAGAGACACCTGGCTGGTATGTGTCCTCACAAGAGACCCAGCGGCGGCCAGATCCCTCTCAGATTGCGCAGCTGGGGTGCTTGCTATTTTTCAGAGGTGGGCAGGTCTGCACGTCCCTGTTGACACCTCCCTGTTCTTTGTTCCGAGTGCCTTAGTACAGGCTGAGGAATGGTGAGTGCCACACGGTAAGCTCTGCCTGCCTGCTCAAGGCCTTCGCTCCTCCGAAAGGCAGTCGGTGATGGGCTTCCGCCGGCCAGCTATGGAAAACGAACTTTGGGCTTGTTCAGTATCTATGAGGTTTGAAGACGTCTACCCCTGTGGAAAACCTCACGTGTGTGTGTGTGTGTGTGTGTGTGTGTGTGTGTGTGTGTGTGTGGTGTCCCAGAGTCCTCCTGAGACCTGTTCAGGGTTAGTCATTAAACAGCAATGTGTGACCTGTGAATGCCCCGTGTTTCTTATTTCCAGTGTCCTTGCTGTCCCAGCTGGCCTGGTGCCTGCTGGGAATTTTTAGGGTTCTGGTGTTTGTATGTTTTGCTTGTTTGAGACTGTTTTCACTTAGCCCAAGTTGGCCTCAAACTTACAATGTAGCCGAGGACAAGCTTGAACTAACAGCCTGCCTCTACCTCCGAAGTGCCGGATTATAGTCCTGCACACCACGATGGGTTCTTTTCTGGTGCCCAGACAGCACAGACGGCCTATTTGTGGAAGTCACACACCATCAGGCTGCTCCAGGGAAGTCCCCTTCTTCAGCGGATCCCTGATAACGTGGCCTTTGGCTTGGGATTCAGAGATGTCCAAATCCTGTCCTGCCAGGTGACCTTCCCTGCAGCTCTGCCACCTGGATGCTGTTTTCCTGCTCCTCAGGTGGAGACACAGGAGTGGCCGCCTGGAAGCTCAGGGGCTGCCCCAGTGGGTCCCATGCCCCTCCATGGTGAGATCTGCTTACTGAGACCTAAGGAAAGGCCAGCTAGCCTAGGCTTCAGTCCCACCCGGCCACAGCGCGCCGGAGTGGACAGCACTGCCCTCTTGTGGTGAGGTGAAACCTTTGCTCTTGGCGTGCTCGTCTAAGGAAAACAAAAACCTCTGCAGCAACTCCCCTCCCTCCCTGCACTCCCGCCCCTGTTTTGAGTGAGCATTAGGCTGGATGTACCTTCATATGTCATCGTCCCCTCACCACCCCACTTGATACTTGAAATAATTTTAAGAAGGAGGCATTCTTGTATTTTAGACAAGATCGGCTAGTTCAGATGGTATGGCCGAAGACTTCGTTCCTGCATTTTCATTTTACGCATATGGGTGTTTTGTATGAAGGCATGTCTATATCATATGTGTGCCTGGTGCCCATGGGAGCCAGAAGAGGGTGTTGGATCCCCGGAAGCTGGAGTTACAGTTGGTTCTGAGGCACTATGTGGGTGCTGGAAATGAATCTGGGGTCCCAGAAGAGCAGCCGGAACTCTTAAACACTGAGCCATCTCTCCAGTCCCATTTTAGCATTCTAGCCGAGGGATTCGGGGTCCAAGAAGAGAGATGACTTGCTCTGAATTCCTGGGCTAGGACAGGAGAGAACTCAGCAAGGTAGGGCCCAGGGTGGATGGAGGCCTGAGAGGTCGAAGCTGGACAAATGAACATCTGTCCATTTTTATGTTTTACCTCTTGAGGAAGGTGGGCTTGTGACTGCCAGGTGTTCTAGTAAGGACCTGCCAGTGGCCTGGTGCAGGAACATGTATCACCCACAACGATTGCATGATCTGGGGACTGGGTGATGGAGCCGGCCCCCTCGGAGGGGTCTGGGTGATGGAGCCGGCCTCTCTGAGGGGCCAGGGTGATAGAGCTGACCCCCTCGGAGGGGACTGGGTGATGGAGCCAGCCCCCTCGGAGGGGACTGGGTGATGGAGCTGGCCTCTCTGAGGGGCCAGGGTGATAGAGCTGACCCCCTCGGAGGGGCCAGGGTGATGGAGCCGGCCTCTCTGAGGGGCCAGGGTGATAGAGCTGACCCCCTCGGAGGGGACTGGGTGATGGAGCAGCCCCCTTGGAGGGGACTGGGTGATGAAGTCGGCCCCCTCGGAGGGGACTGGGTGATGGAGCGGCCCCCTCGGAGGCCCTGAGGATTCACTCCTGCAGTACTTGCTCAGTCCTGCCCCTTAGCACTGCAGTGGGAAAGACAGCACGGCAAGGGACAGTGACCGCCCCCCTTGCAGTAAGGCTGGGAGCACTGATCAGGGGTCCTGTGACCCCAGCTGCCACAGTGACACTGACATTGGTCGGGAACTGGAAGGAAATTCAATTGGGCTGAGTGTGGCAGCGCACACCTTTAATCCAACACACAGGAGACAGAGGCAAGGGGATCTCTGTGTTGGAGACCAGCCTGGTCTCCAAAGCGAGACCTTCTCATAAAAGAAAGCCGAGAAATCAACTGTGAGGGTGGGAAGAAGTCAGTCCTGGTGTGCTATGGTGTGCAGCTGGGGCTGGTGGGAAATCAGGGTAAGAGGCCCCGAGGGTGGCCAGGGAGAACACAGGGTGGGTTGGATACCTAAGCAAGTGACCCGGTGGGCCACATGACCCTTACGCTTCAAGTGGCTTGGACAGTGGACAGCTATGCTCATGAGTAAGAGAGAGGTGGGGACAGTGACTCCAGTGTGGTACCACTGGGCAACTGGCAGGAACCAAGAGACAGGACCTTGTGAGCTGTCCTGTTCCAGCCCTCATGGTAGGGACTGCAGGGAGCGCCCTCTTGACTGTGAATCTGGGCTCAAGACAGGCAGCAGCGTGGCTCCAGCCCACAGCACAGGGTAGAGCAGGTGCACTGCCCAGAAAGGCGGCATGGCCAGCACTGCTGCTGAGCCAGCCAGAGGTGGCAGCGCACAGTGCCTGAAGCTCCCTCCAGTCCTGGTACTGCACCAGCAACTCTTGCCTTCTCTTCCTGGCCTGGTCTCTTGTCCATTTCCCAAACTCCACCCAGACAGGACCAGTCCCTCCTCACCTAGGATCAGACACAGGGAAGGGTGTGGCTGGGCTTGGGGTCCTGGGGTGGAAGCAGCAGCCTGGAGCCTTAGAGTCCTAGAGTTAGGAGCAGGGCAAGGACTTAATGGGGCCTCTCGGAGCCTGGGAAGCTGGAGCTGTCTAAAGTTGGTGCCCAGGGTCTTGGGAACATGCCCTAACCTCTGAGTGAGCAGAGGAGGCCAGGGCCAAGATGGGGTTCATACAAACCCAAGGGACAGTAGTCAACTGTAATTTTTATTTATTTATTTATTTATTTATTTATTTATTTATTTATTTATTTATTTATTTTTAACTAGCTCTGTAGACCAGGCTGGTCTCGAACCCACAGAGATCCGCCTGCCTCTGCCTCCCGAGTGCTGGGATTAAAGGCGTGCGCCACCATCGCCCGGCTCAACTGTAATTTTTTTTTTTTAAAAGTCTGTCTGTATGTATTCTTTGTGTGTATGTGGGTACATGTGTCATGCATGGTACATATGTGGAGGCCAGAGGACAACCTGAAATCAGTGCTCTTCTATCTTGTGGGCCCAGGGATTGAACTGAGATCCTTAGGCAACAAGGCCCTGCTTCGGTCTCTCAGGCCTCCATCCACCCTGGGCCCTACCTTGCCGAGTTCTCTCCTGTCCTAGCCCAGGAATTCAGAGCAAGAGCCTTTACCTGCTGAGTTATCTTGCTGGCCCTTGCAACCTGTGGCTCCCACTCCGCAGACGAGGCTGGCCTTGGATTTGCCTGAGATCTGGGATTATTGACATGTGGCAATGACGTTAAGTTTAGTGTGACCCTGCCATTCCACCTTCCTGGACACCTCACCTTTCATTCAGCCAGCTCTGGGTGTCGGGTAATTAATTTCCCAGGGTGCACTGCATGTGCTTGCCCAGGTATCTTCACAATCAATCCCTGCTGGAGCCACAGGTTAGTGCCCCCACACCAGTTCACATAGATTTCTTTTTGGTCTCATCTTGTAGCCCAGGGTAGCCCTGTAACTCACCAGGCTGCCTATGTAAGCCTAGAACTCAGTGTGGGCCAGGCTGGCCTCAAAATCAAACAGCCAGGCGTGGTGGTGCACACCTTCAATCCCAGCACTCAGGAGGCTGAGGCAGGTGGATCACTATCAAACAAACAAAAACGGAATAGTTTCATTTTTTTAGCCTAAGCTTGCCTCCAGATTTAGGCAATCCACCTGCCTCAGCCTCCTACATTTGAAAATCACAAGCGTGAGAGGTTTTCTTTTTTTAAAAAAATTATTCCATGTGTCATGAGTGCTTTACCTATAGGATGGATGTGTACTAGGGGTGGCCTGGTGACCTTGAATACCAGAAGAAGGCACCGGGTCCCCTGGGACTGTAGTTTCAGGTGGTTGTAAGCCACTATGTGGCACCAAATTTTGGTCCTTTGCAAGAGCAGCCAGCACTTTTAACCACTGAGCTACCTCTCTAGTCCCAGACATGTTTGTTGTTAGTGTGTTTTGTGTTTTTATTTATTTATTGTTTGTTTGTTTGTTGTTTTTAAACCAAAGGTAATTAGCGAAGCAAGGTCTCACATTCCTAAATCTCCCTTCCCTAGTCTCTTCAAAGAGATTAGCCAATCACATCAGATGGAGAGGTCGCACTCCAGACCAATGGGATGAACCACTGCTTCCATGGGTGGGGGGGATAAGGAAGCCTTACTGGCCCAGTTGTGTTGATAGCCTGGTTTTTGTTTCACCTCATTCTTTTTGCAGAATGAACTGCTTGGCTGAATACTTTGGTTTTATTTGTGTGCGGTCCTTTGTGCTGTTTCTTTGTGATTATTTCTAATGCAGGCAAGAGTCATCATGCCCAGGTTTCTAAAGTCTGTTTGTGAGGCTTGCGGTACCTACAAGCACTCTCTGAAAAGATGGTGTTAATTTGGATAGGATACATATTTTTGAAGTCTTGTTCATTTTTGTCTCAGGGTAATTTACAAGGGAAATACAGAAAGGAGGAGACCACACATG